TGGCAGGACTGGGTGCCTGAGTCCAGTGCTTCGTGCGCAGCCCCTGCCACCACCACTCTGAACACAAAATGGGTTATTCATGGACTTGTTCCACCTCCTTGCACCTATCCCAACAACCCATAAAACGGCAGGGCTGTGATTAATCTTTGTATCTTAAGCCTGTAGCACAGCTTACAATATAGAGGGGCTCAAAGACTACTTTTGAATCAATGAACTGGAAAGGTAAGGCTGAAGACCATGTTGGTGCCTTGAAAAAAATATACATAGACAGACTTAACGAAAAGGAGTCTGGACAGTCGTTAGGCGGTAGTGGTAAGTCATGGAAGGATTTTGATTGGACAACACCAAGCACCTGCTTTAGGAGGTTGATCAGGGAAAAGAGGCCAGGATGGCATTGAGGGTTATGTTGCTAAGTAGAGTCCCTTCATGCTCCAAAACTGTGTGACTGGCAGAAGGGGACGCTGGAAATTATTGTGTTAATTAGAGAAGGAAAGAGATCAGGGACGAATGGCAATGTCAGTAGACAATATACAAACAAATACAAAAGGAATGCTACAGGGTCAATATGGGGAAAGCATAAAGTCACAGGCGACAGTGATGTGTATTGTGATGACAGAGAAATAGTAGGAAAATTAAGTAAGAGGTAGACCACTGAGGAGAATTATGGGAAGATTTGCAGCAAGTCCACATCTGAATCCTGTGAAAATTCTAGTTTTTTGCTATAACACACTCTTAGGATTCAATTTTTTTTCTAATGAGATATAGTCTTCTAAATGGGTGATTTCAAGTCAAGGGTTGGACTTCTTTTTGAAATGACAGACTTTACACCTCACTTTTTAGTAGTCAGTACTTTCAGTTGATTAGTTCACAATAAGGGCATGAAGACTACACACAATGAAAGTTAATTTTAAGAAGTTAATAAGTAAATTTTTGGCAATAATACACCTAAAGACACATAGCAGCCCTTTGGGAAAAAAAGGTGGAGAAGGTGTACTATAAAAATATTACAGCCTTTTTCTTTTCCCTTTCTGTTCCTTTCCTGATTTTTTTTTTAAACCAACTCTTTATGTCTTTTTTCTTTAAGTAGTTTTTCTGCACTGCATGAAAGCTGCATGAGGACATGTGGTCCTTAACCTTACTTAGATGTTACACTTGGCATTGGCTGGCTCTGTTTCCCTTGACAACTTTTGAGCCTGATGGAGATGTATCTGTATCCCTGAAGGTCTTTCTGGACACACAGTAGCATCTCAATAAATATTTATTATTGCTTGATCTCTAGTTCCTCGCCGTTTACTCCTCGTCTTCTCATATTAAGTTCCAAAGAATGAACATTTAAATTTACCTCTGAGAAATTTGTGAAGGAAATCAATTTCTTCAAGAAAGCACTTGCTGCTTCAGGCTTATGTGACGGGTCTCCTTATTTAATCACTATTTTGCTGTCGTCCACTGAGAGTTTTCTTCTCTGTTCTATAATTTCCTAACTGTTTTTTTTTGGAATGAAAACTAATTTGTGCTTTACTCCTAGAGGAGACCTACAATAGGTTTAGAACAGAGCTAGCTTTAAATTTTATGATTTTCTTAATTATTCAGGAATCCTGCAAGAATCTGTTCATGTTACGTCCCGGAGAGATTGATGCAATAATTGAGAAGCAATTCAAGGATATCTGTTCACTTATAAGTAAACATCTTTTAGAGTCCTTTTAGACCCTTTAAGCATCTTACTTGCAGATAAAGAAGTTTCTGCAATTCTCATTCTCTTAAGAAGCAAAGTTTGTCAGGTGCCTTTAAACAAGTGAAGAAAGGCTGATGCTCCTCCTGTTTGTCTGCTGCTTTGAT